TCTCGATGTCCTTCCCCCACTGACTTTTCTGGTTGTAAAAAAGACAATACCTATAAATGCTGTAAAACTGACAGTGATTGTGTTTCAGATAAAATAGGAGAGCAACACATGGATGCCATTTTTTTAAACTGAAATTTACCCTGATCGGTGGAATCTGCTGTCAGCTGTTTAAATGCCTGAGATATCTTAAGTTAAATAAAACTACAAATGTGTACATGAAACTCTAATTCTGACACATACAAGTCTGAAATCTTCATAATGCGTACAGAAGGAGTCTTTCAGCTGCTCGGTTTTCATCGCTGAGATCAGCATTATCTCTGCTCTGATGGGATCAGTGTCCAGCTTTTCAGATTTAATGATGACATGCTGAGTTGGAACGCTGCGCTGCTAAGATCACGCCAGTGCCGCTGCCACCGACCTCGTTATTTGAACAGTAGAGCTGCCATGAGATGAGCCTTTGAAGCAGCATGCTTTCAAACTCATAACCACATTCATGCGCTTGTTTTCTTGTTAGCTGGCCCCGTCAGCTGCAACAAAAACAGTCGAGTTAGCTGCACGAACCTTATTCTGAAAGGCCTAGTTGTTGCCTGTTGATGCAATGCGTTCATGTGATTAAGTTCAAAGGACTTAGTCATGCTCTCTGTATCTGTGTGTTTCAGAGATCGTTTATTAGGGGATTAATTACATTTTTACTGCCCAGCAGCAGAAAAAAGTGACACAGGAAGTATCTGGAACATTAAGAAAAATTATGGACTAGGTGCATTTATTTGCTCATAAGGTGACTTTTCTGGCTTTAAAGTCTTGTTCTCGGCCCGAATCCAAAAAGCAAACGATAGTCCTGTTATTGTTTATTATTGTGTGTCATTTACAGGCCACTGAGCACAAGTGCTCGGTCCTGCTGGCTTCAGGAGGAACTTGGCAGGAGATGTGTTTTAGAGATTGATGTTGGTTAGTTTCTTGAAAGATTGCTTAACCATGTGTTCTTCCTTCAGAAAGTAACTGCTCCCATACAGTTTACACAAGGAGGAAGTGTGTGTGTGCGTGTAGTGTATCATTTTCCTTGTCGTGTAACTGGTGTGTCAATGTAACTACCACAAAAGCAAGTAAATGTTTAAAGAATAGAATAGAATAGAATAAAATAATCCTTTAATTGTCCCACAAGGGGAAATTTGGGCGTAACAGCAGCAAAAAAGACACATATACAAACAAACAGTACACAAGACACAGAACAGAAACACACACAATTTTACATATTTACATCAAGGACAATGGTTACCAAAACTGTACCGTTATTAAATTAAATTAAATTAAATACAGATAAGAGGC